CCTGGCTTTTTTCCCCCCCCTAATGGCTTTGGTTATGTCATGTCCCTGGTTGGATCTTCCCTGTATATTTAGGGGTGGCTGACAAAACTGCTGCCTCTGCCAAGAGAGTTTGGTGTGGCTGAGGCAGCAAGGAGAGAGGTATTGCAGTGATGTGGCAGAAGACAACAGGGTGGAGAGGAGCTGCCAGGTCTGGGTGCCAAGTACAGCAGGTGGAGCCTCTCCACTGAGTGTGTTGTGCTGTTCCCTGTTGCTGTATCCTTGGCTGCTCCTCCATACCCATATGTCTGCACCTGTGCTGGAAACAGAGCAAATTTCCCAGCCCCCTGTATGTGAAGTGGGATGACAACTGTCTGAACCAGCCCCTGGGTTCCCATGGGAAGTGGCTTCCCTGGACATGTTGTTCAGCTCTGCTGCTTCAGGCTCCTGGTGTGAGTGGTCTGTGTTGGCCAGCAGAGGCTGTGGTCACAGCTGGACAAATTGTCAAAAATATCCTTGATGTTTTTCCTCCTTGAAAGATTGTGTACCTTTCTAGCTAAGCTTTTCATGGTCAGCATGTTTACCTCCAGGAAAAACAGTGTATCTTCTCTTGCCACTGCAAATCCATAGGAGAGGAAAACATGGCAATACAGACAAAGGGATTTAATGCTGTCATGGAAGACAAAGGAAAGGCAGGAAAGGAAATGGGTTCAGCTTGGTCACCGAGGTTGGACCAGACCTCCTACAAAAGAGGGAGAAAAGTGGTGGGGACTGGAAGTCTCAGGGCAGGGAAGGTTTTCCTGGGAATATATAAAAAGTGATAGGCAGGGAGAGGAGCACCTGGCTGAGCACAGGGGATGTGCATGTAGAATGTCAAACATTGCTACACTCATACACATGGAATGTGGCTTTGAAGTATTTTAGGGCAAAGCTGAGTCCACAGCTGATGTCTAGGGAACCCTAGAACTTGTACTCTCCCTGTACCAAAGGAATCCTGCTTTTCTCTTCGTGCTTCCTTTTCCACTGGGGAAAAATGCAAGAGCAAGAAACACAGGGAGGCTTTGGGCCCTGGCTGAGGATTTCTTGGCTGGTTTTACCCTGGGCTTCGTGATTGCTGTTCAGGCAATCACATGTAGGCAGCCCCATCTTCACACACTCAGCTGCTGGTTTTCCATGTGGGCTGGTTCTCAATGGAAGAAGAGCTGTGTGAGGAGGGGGCCAAGCAAAACTTCTGCTCTGTCAGATTTTTTTTTTAAAAAGCTTCCACAAATGTTGTGAACCAAAGACAAAAGAGTCAGAAATTTGGTTTTTGGTGGAATTAAGGTAAAACTTACTGTGAGACTACACTTGGCTCACCTGGGTAGGAACATTTTGGTAGTGAGGAACTGCAGTTTGCTGTGCCTGTTGCCCAGGCAGCAGCCAAGGCAGAGTTTGGGATATGGAAAAGAAGCTTTTTAGGGGTGGGTGGAAGCAGCTGGGAGGGATGGAGAACACAATCTGTGAGAAGCAAAGCTTCATTGTCCCAGGAGCATTAGAACTAATGAGCTTTGCATTTCCAAGGTGGTGAGCCTTCTCCAGACCCTGTGAAATGCATGCCTGGGATGCGTTGTGTTCAATCTCCACATGGAGAAAAGGGGTGTGTGGGGGAGGAGGAGAGAGAGGCAGAGGAGGCAGAATGCAGAAATAGAGGCCAGAGGCCCCTCTTTGGGTGCAAGCACCAATCTGCTGTCTGCATGAGCCTGCCTGAGTTGCATATGCTCTCCTTTTCTGTGTGCCCAGAAAATTGTGATAAATAGAGGTTCAGGCAGGGAAGAGCATTTATTTTTATTTGCCTATTTTTGTCGTTCACTTGGCATCTCTAAATGAATGGTGGAACCAGTAGGAAAAGGCTATTCTCCCTGTGCATACAGCCCTTGTGTGTGAGGCTGTGTCTCAGAGACAGTTATACCTGCTGACCTTTTGCAACCCACCTTCACCTCACATCATGCCACTGTCAGCTTTTGGCAACTGTGCCAGAAACCCCATGGAGTCTTTCAGCCAGAGCTGTGGATAGGCAGTTTTCCCTGCTCTCCAACTGGGATAGCTCAGCCTTTGGTCTCTGTTCTTTCCTCTGTGCCATCAGGTATCAGAGTGGGGGGGAAGGACCTCCTTCCAACACTTCACCTCCCAGCAGTCAGGCCCAGACCAGGTATGCAAAGGTTGTTCTGCCCTTCTGCAGGGTATGGATTCATCCTGCCCCAGTGCTGGTGGGAGCTGCCATTGCACAGGATGGTTGACACAACCTTTTGTTCTGTTTCCCCTCTATCTAGAGACAAATTAGTCTTTCAGCCTTCCCTTTTCATTACAAAGGCTTTTGAAATGTGCAGACTGCTCACTTGTGTCTTATTTTTCCTTCCTATTTTCTCTTTCCAACGTGTCAGTAGCCCCACAATTCAGTACAGGCCTAGGGGCACATGTAAAGTATCATCCCCTCCCCGTCAAAGCCAAGTGAGGAGGCTGAAATAAAGCCCCAAAGCATCAGGTGAAGATGACACTGTGCTTAGCAAAGAGGGTAAGAGGAACTGTTTCATGTCTTGTTGGTCCACTGAAAGTTAAACTTGGCAGCAAAGACATCCAGGCAGGTGTGAGGATGCTTCTGCAAGATCTGCCAAGGACTCCTGTGTTCCTATCTGATGCTGGGAGCCAGGGCAGGGGAGAGGCTGCAAGCACAGCCTGTTTAATATTCTCTCTGTCCTTCTGATCTCCCCCCTACCCTGCAGAAGCAACATGTCCCATGTTTCTGCAGAGCTTGTCCTGAGCAATAGCAGCATCTGTCAGGGGTTATGGTGGCATTAGCCTCGTGGAGCTGGGAGTTAGCAGTGCTTGGCAGAGTGACAGTTCTGCTGTACCGTACATAAATCTGTATCTTGCCTAAATCTGTCTCTGCCTAGTCTGCCCAGGTGTATGGTCACAATTTGTCTGATTCCTCCTGCTGTCCACAAGGCCTTGCAGTTTCTCCAAAGGTTATCTTTTCTTCTTGAGGCCCCTCTCCCTCATCTCTCTTCACAACTCCCAACTCCTTACCCTCTCCCTTCTATCTTTCCCACAAGTCCTAAAGGGAACATATTTTAAATAGGTGTTGTTTTAAAATAAGTTCCTGTCACCTTTCCTCTTAAGTGCTGCAGAAAGCTCCCAGTATTCCCACGGAAAGGGGGAAAGTCTTGAGGCTCCCTATGGCTTTGGCAGCAAACCCCAGCAACCCTCTACTCACCACCTCCTGATATGACTGATCCCAGGCCCAGGTACCTTGCTCATCAGCACTTCATGGTACTTGGTTGTCTATCATCTGCGTTTTTTGGCCCTTCTAGACCCTTCTCAGGCCAGAAAAATAATAACTACCCCAGTTCTTAGCCTTCTTCCAGACTCTGAGGAAACTCTCCAGGAAAACAAGAAAACCCTTGTTAAACAGATCATGACGTCCCCAACCATGCTGGTCGCCATGAGGCTTGTCCTGAGCCACCCTCTCTTTCCCAGCTCTGCTCAGGGACCTGGCACCAGCCCCACTGTGGGGAGGGTCCGTGTGCCAGAGCTCTCCAGTGGCACTGTCACACACCTGCCACCCACTGCTTTATTGTTTTAAGGCTTTATTGAAGAGCTGCTCTGAATATGTGGCAGAGACCAGTAGAATGTTCCTGTCGGTCTGCAGGGCCAAGTTCTTAGTATGTATCGCCCAATAAAGCGCAGCAGCTCTGAAGGAGTGTGTGATCTGTCAAGGAAACTCATTGCCCCTCTCAGTGAGAGTCTCCACTGAGATGTATGTCCTTGGGTGCTGAGAAGGAGGTACTTAGGAGTAAGGGTACTTATTACTATTATTATTTACCATTGTTTGGTGCCTGGTGCTTGTAAGCAGTGCAGGTGCCACACTCTTCTACCACAGCTCATCAAGGAGAAAAAAGAAAAATCCCACCTTGTGCTGTAACACACATCCAGAGCTCTTAAAATGGAAGTTTCTGTTTTGTCTCTAAGCCTTATTTCTTTTGTAGGCAGAGGTGAGAGTTGCAAAGCCAAGTGAATGGTATGCACTGAGTCCATACAATGACTCTTTAAAAAATAATTACATATGGTACAAGAGGGAGAGGAAAGCACTCCATTCCTGTAAATGGCCACTTAAGATGTGGAGAATAAATAACTGTAATAAATAATCTGGCATAGCTGAGCTTTAGCATTTAGGAATAAATCAGAGCTCTTTCCCCATTGTCTGTTGAGGTGCACTGGAAATGGAGTTGGAAGGAAATATTTCCCTCGGAGTTCTGGCAAGGTGTTGGAAAGCCCATGGGAGCGTGTAGGAGTCTCCTGTGCTCCCGTGTGTTTTGTTGCACTTTCCCTGCACCACCTTTCCCTGTTCACAAGCATGTGCCGCTCCCTGTGAAGAAGAGACTCCCTTAAGTCTCGCTTGCCTCTCGTGAATAAGCGCAAGAACAACGCCGGGGAGATAAAGCCTCTGCCGGCGGAATTAACGCGTCTCCAGATCGCTCCTTGGCTGTCCAGCCCCTCACCTCTCCACCAGCCCTGCCCTCCCACCAGCGCCGGTCCCCCCTCCTGCCCATTCACTCATCCTGCCTCTCGCAGCCGGAGCGGCGGCTCCTCCGCTCAGGGCACGGTCTCGGTGCCGCTATTTAAATGCAGCTCCAGTCGCTGGCGAGCGCATGGCTGGGGCTTGTCACTGAGGGCTGTGTCGCTTTAAGGCATGTGACACTTTCCCGAGCAGGGATGCATTGAAATAGGCTACGGTACTTCCAGCATCGTAGAGCAGTGTTGGAATCGCCGCCTTCCCCGCACTGCCCGCGCCGGAGTCGGGCTGGCTCTGCCCTCACACACACTCTGCTCCTCGCCCTTAAGTATCCTGGAAGCTGCAAATTATCTCAAGATCGCTCCAAAGGTCTCGTCAAGCAGAAGGTGATGCTAGGAGATGATTTAAAGGTGAAAATGAGAAGGTTTCCACCCTTCAAACCTTGACCACTTTTCTGACGGCAGAGTCTGAGAGCTCAGATGTCTTCTTTACTCTGGAAACAGGATTTGTAACGAAAAAGAGATTTTTTTTTTTTTTTTCCTACTTTTAATCCTGATAAAGAAGATTATTGGGAAGCTGTATAAAAAATCCCTTATTGTGATACAGATGGATTTAAAAAAGTATTAGATCTTTCCGATGAGCACTACTAGAGTGCTCTGCTCTTGGTTGGATTACTCAGGTAAGGAGCTTCTTCAGGATTTAAGATTCAGAAAGCAGATCTGGAACTCATCAGATAATAAGTGGAAAATACTCAGTGCTGTGTTTCTTTATTAATGATAAGATGATCCATATGTAAAAGTGTGTATGTGGCAGCACCTCGCTTACAAACAAGTGCCTGAAGAAATATTTGTGAGAAATGCTGGTGTTTGAGCAAAGGGAGTTTGAAATAGTGCAGTTTGAGAGAGGTTTTTTGGTTTTTTTTATGGAAAAAAAAAAAAAGCTAATAATTAAGGCTGAGGGGGTTAAGTAAGTCTGCTGTCCATGTGCTAAGAATATGATGCCGGAGGAAAGACACAGGAGCATTTAGCAGGCTGTGGAAGTTTGGCTTTGCTTTGCTCTTTGACTGGGATTTTTAAAGTTCAGTTTAAATAACCTGAATAGCTGAAATATCCCTGTGTGAGAGTTCACCTTTCCCCTCTTACCTTGTGGTATGAAAAGCAGGGGAGCACCAAATATGACAAGAAGGCGTTAATTCCTGAAGACACGGGAAGCCTACTGGGAGCTCCCTGATCTGAGGGGATTGAATCTGTTTTGCAAGATAAATAGGTCTAAAAAAGAGAGGAGAAAAAGTGCATTGTATACTGCGAAGCAAACAGTTGGAAATGAAATTAATTATAAGCTAAGCAGTGCATCAAGCACTCGGTACAGAGAGAGGAAGAGCCTCATGCTGATCAAAATAATATTTTGGTATTCTCTATTAATTATACTTGTCGGTTTATGTGGTTCATTTTGGCTAATTAGACTTAAAAAGCTTCCCAGAGACTGTGCTGCTTTAAAATCAGGGGCAAAAAAAAAAATTATATGCATATATTTTATTACCACTGTATTTCACTATTTTAATATTGTTAATTTTCATACTGCAGAAATCCCCCTGATATCACATACAGACTTTTAATTTTTTTTTTTTTTTTTTTTTTTTTTTTTTTTTTTTTTTTTTT